CATTTTCATTACAAATTATTTTCTTCATCCTGGGTCTAGGCGACGTAAGACAGGAAGAATAAGATTCCAAAAGGCAGAGGACTGAATTATGAAGTATCCAGATGGGTGTGTGTGAGCAGGCTGCAGCGTGGCCTTCTGCTGGGCCTCTATGGTCGCGGAAGTTCTTATTAAGCAGGGTCTCGAGAGAGTGATTCTAGGACGATTTGTTGAAGATCGGTTCTGCATTAGTAATTTTCTTTTCTCTTTGCCCAATTCTGCCAAGATTGCAACTCTATTTTTGTTTTGAATATCTTGACCTGGTAGGTTTGCCGATATCCTCCTGTTTTCTGTCTCCTCTAAGTTCGGTAACAACTCTGGGGCTGGAGCAATAGCACAGCGGGTAGGGCGTTTGCCTTGCACGCGCCCGACCCGGGTTCGATTCCCAGCATCCCATATGTTCCCCTGAGCACCGCCAGGGATAATTCCTGAGTGCAGAGCCAGGAGTAACCCCTGTACATCGACGGGTGTGACCCAAAAAAGCAAAAACACAAAAAATATTTCCTAAGGTTAGGGTCCAGAGCAATAGTACAGCAGGGAGGGGCAGGGAGGGCATTTGCCTTGCACGCAGTCAACCCGGGATCAATCCCCAGCATCTCACATGATCGCCTGAGCACCACCAGAAGTAATTCCTGAGTGCAGGGCCAAGAATAACCCCTGAGCATAGCAGGGTGTGACCCCCCCGCCCCGAAAAAAAAGCTGAGGACTAGAACTATATAGCTCAACAGTCTGAGTGCTTGCTTTGCGTGTAGGTGGACTGGATTCAGTCCCCAGCACCGCATGGTCCCCCACCCCTAGGTTACCAGGAGCAACCCACATGCACCCGTGGGTGTGGTCCAGAAACCGAATAAAAAGGTTCTCGGTTTTTTCTTGCTTTCCATCCCCACAGACCCGATTCGTCATAATTTTCCACCTTCTCTCTGTTTTCTTCCACTCCCCCACATTGGCCTCACCCCATTCTCTACTGTCTTAGTGGTGACATTCTCCTTCAGCCCAGGTCGAGATTCTCCCCTCACCATCACTCACTGGCACCCTTGGGTGGCATCCGAGTTTAGCTTCTTTTCTAACCACATCACCTAACCGCAGTCCACATCCCTCTTAAATTTGCTTTACAGACACAGTCACTTATGATTTCCCCAGTACAGCACACCTCTTTGCCTTTTCACATTGTTTCCTCTGTATGGTAAGGGCGGAAAAAAATTCTATAGATTCTTCAGAACCAAACTCAGCCCACGTTCTAATTCTAGGAAGCTTCACTGCCAAGTGTCTAAGCAGAACTAGTCATTTAACCACTTGTTCCTTAAAGGAACATGTAGGTTTGTCCTTAGCACCATGAATTGAAGTTACCTATTTATGTCTCTCTTATTTATTTATTTATTTATTTATTTATTTATTGCTTTTTGGGTCACACCCGGCTTTGCACAGGGGTTACTCCTGCCTCATGCACTCAGGAATTACTCCTGGCGGTGCTCGGGGGACCATATGGGATGCTGGGATTCGAACCCAGGTCGGCCGCGTGCAAGGCAAACGCCCTACCCGCTGTGCTATCGCTCCAGCCCCAATGTCTCTCTTTTTAAAGCAATAAAAACATTTTTTAAAATTATTATGTGGGGCTTTCTGGTGGTGCTTGAGGACCATTGAGGCCACACCTCGCAGAGCCTGGCAGGAGGGCCATGTGCTGCTGGAGATCAGGCGAAGGCCTCACGCAGTGCTCACCCACTGCTCTGAGCGAGTTGCCTTCCCAGCTACTACATGTCGCTTTTTCTTTTTCTTTCTTTTTTTTTTGGGGGGGGGGGTCATACCCGGCGATGCACAGGGGTTACTCCTGGATCTGCACTCAGAAATTATTCCTGGTGGTGCTTGGGGAACCATATGGGATCCTGGGAATTGAACCCTGGTTGGCCGATTGCAAGGCAAACACCCTACCTGCTGTGCTATCGCTCCAGCCCCACATGTCGCTTTTTCATCAACTGGGTAGTTGGCTGCTTGAAGGCAGAGTCTGGCTCAAAATCATCTCCACATCCACATGGCCGGCTCTAGGTCTGTAGATAGTGAATGATAGTGAAAGTCTGTGTACGACTTCAGACTTTCTTGCCTTTCTCTCAGCTCTCATAGGTTCATTTTGCCAGTCTGACATTTGTTATTCAGTAGGTACCTTTAATATGAGTAGCTTGTTGTTTTCTTTCCTCCTTTCTCCACTAGAATGTCAGCCTTCTAAATGCATAGATTAGTCTTGACTCTTTTTTTATTATTATTATTCTTTTTTTCTGTTTGTTTTTGGGCCACATCAGTAGTGCTCAGGGCTTATTCCTGCCTCTGCACTCAGGGATCAATCCTGACGGGGCTTGGGAGACCATCTGGGGTTCTGGGGATTGAATCCGGGTCAGCCACATGCAAGACAAGCACCCTTCTCTCTCCATTCCCGATATTTAAAAATTTTTAACCTATAATACCCATGTGTTGGAGCAATAGCACAGTGGGTAGGGCATTTGCCTTGCACGCAGCCGACCCCGGCCAACCTGGGTTCAATTCCTTCACCCCTCTCAGAGAGCCCGGCAAGCCACCGAGAGTATTACGCCCGCATGGCAAAGCCTGGCAAGCTACCTGTGACATATTCGATATGCCAAAAACAGTAACAATAAGTCTCACAATGATGACATTATGGGTGCCCACTAGAGCAAATCGATGAACAACGGGAGGACAGTGCTACAGTGGTACCCACATGAAATGCTGTTCATGACAGGCATTCAGCAAATGTTTATGCAGCTCTTGAGGCCAGCAGGGAAGCTGAAAGGTACACATGTTCTTCCTGACTGTACCATTTGAAAAAATCTAATGACTTTGGGGCTGGAGCAATAGCACAGCGGGTAGGGCATTTGCCTTACACGCAGCCGACCTGGGTTCGATTCCCAGCATCCCATATGGTCCCCCGAGCACCACCAGGAGTAATTCCTGAGTGCATGAACCAGGAGTAACTCCTGTGCATTGTCGGGTGTGACCCAAAAAAAAAAAAAGAAAAGAAAAAATCTAATGACTTTGGGGCCAGAGTGATAGCAAGTGGGTAGGGAGTTTATCTTGCATGTGGCCACCAGAGTTTGATCCCAGTATCCCATGTGGTCTCCTGAGCACCACCAGGAGTGATTCCTGAGTGCAGAGCCAGGAATGACCCCTGAACATTGCTGAATTTGGTCAAACACACCCCACCCCTACAACCTCCTGCTGCCACCAAATAAAAATCTAGTGACTTTAGAAAGTTTCTGATTTCCAATGAATCTAATCAAAGCAGATAGAGTGTTAACTAGAATTCATCTGTCCCACAGGGACTGGGAGGGGTGGGGGGTGGGGTTTTATTAGGGTACTTCATGGTAAAAAAAAAAAAAGTATTGGTAAAGGGAAATGTGTTTGATATTTGCATGACTGAGACCTAAACCTGAAAGCTTTGTAACCTTTCCCACGGTGATTCAATAAATTAAAAAAAAAAAAAAAAAAAAATTTAAAAAAAAAAAAAAAGAAAGTTTCTGATTTCAAATCATAGAAGAATTCCAGTAGAATTTATGTCCATGTGTTTCCTTCCACAGGCCTTGGATGAAGAGTATTTGAAAGTTGATGCCCAGTTTGGAGGCGTTGATCAGAGAAAGATTTTCACCTTTGCAGAAAAGGTTAGTGTCCTCTTGCCCATCTTTTTTTCTTTTGAGCCTCAAGGTATGCAGTTAAAGTGTTTTGAGTGTGCCCGTTTCACACATCATAATCATGTGGTAGTTACTGTTCTCCCTGTTTCACAGATGAGAAAACTGAGGTGTATAGAGTAAGAATCACTGTGACTGCCAGGAATTAGTTTTCAAATCTGTCTGATGTTAAAGACTATGCTCAGGAGCTGGAGCAACAGCACAGCGGGTAGAGCATTTGCCTTGCACACGGCTGACCCGGGTTCGATCCTCAGTATCCCATATGGTACCCTGAGCACCGCCAGGAGTAACCCCTGTGTATCTTCGGGTGTGACCCATAAAGAAAAAAAAAAGGCTATGCTCTTGGGCCAGGCATGTGACTCAGCGGGAGAGCAAATTTCTTGCTTGTATGGTGCCTAGGTTTGATCCTCATTTCTGAGAAAAAATAAATTGTCAAATTACTGGGGCCAGAGAGATGACTCAGTGGTTGAGTGTGCGCATTGCATGCAGGAGCTCAGGTTCAATCTCCAGCAGCACCTGGTGCCCGAAGTACCACCAGGAGTCAACCCAGCTCTCCACCCGCCTCTCCCCCCACCCCCCTCCCGGAACATAGCCCTGAGTTCTGTCCGGTATAGCCCCAGAATAATAACAAATATTTTCTTGGAGCCAGAGAGATAGTATAGATGGTACAAGGGTAGGGCACTTGTACACAGTCAAACCCTGTTCATCCCTAGCATTCCATATGGTCCCTGAGCCCTGCCAGGAGTGATCCCTGAGTACAGAGCCAGGAGTAAACCCTGAGAACCGCCCAGGTGTGGCCCAAACACAAAAAAAAAACAAAAAAAATTTATTTGAACGTGATTTTCAGCAGCTTGACTTATGTTTTCCACTATAGTTTGTATCTATTCTGCTTGGATTTTTCTGGGCTTCTTAGATCTGTAAGTTGACATTTTCCTTCTTTCTTTCTTTCTTTCTTTCTTTCTTTCTTCCTTTCTCTCTCTCTCTCTCTCTTTTTCTTTATTAAAGTAGTCTTTTGGTTTTAGTTGTTTGTTTTGTTTTGGGGTCACACCGGGTCGGTGGTCGGGACTTACTCCTGGTTCTGTCCTCAGAGATCACTCCTGACAGTCTTTGGAGACCATGTGTGGTGCTGGGGATCAAACCTAGGTTGGCCCTACTCGTTCTACTATCATTATGTCTTATGTCCCCCAAAATAGGTTTTGTTTGTTTGTTTGCTTGGGTTTTTTGTTTGTTTGTTTGTTTTAAGAAATTTACTTAGTGCAGCCAATTAAGCCGACCGTGCTCTCTGCCCCGTGGGGCCCGGTGTGCAATGGCTGCCGACAGCGAGCAGCTCCTGGGTAGTGTACGCAGCCTGTGCCTTGTACGGGCTGTGAGAAGGGACCCTGGACACAGCCCTTTGTCCTGCTCGTTCCTGTCTGCTCTCACACTGGCCTCCATCTCAGGCTCCAAACAGGCATGCGGGGGGCCTTCGGAAAGCCCCAGGGCACGGTGGCCAGGGTCCACATTGGCCAGGTCATCATGTCCATCCGCACCAAACTGCAGAACAAGGAGCATGTGATTGAGGCTCTCCGCCGGGCCAAGTTCAAGTTTCTTGGTCGTCAGAAAATCCACATCTCCAAGAAGTGGGGTTTTACCAAGTTTAATGCGGATGAGTTTGAAGACATGGTAGCGGAGAAGCGACTCATCCCAGATGGTTGTGGCGTCAAATACATCCCCAACCGTGGGCCTCTGGACAAGTGGCGGGCACTGCATTCCTGAGAGCCTTGGAGCAGTGCCCTCCAGTCCCTGTTCCCCACCCCAGCACTCAAGCGCCCCATCCCACCCACCACAATAAAACCTGGTTCTTAATCAAAAAAAAAAAAGAAATTTACTTAGAGAAATGTGAGGGGAGAAAAAGAGAGAGAGACATGTTCAAGAGAGGATATGGGCTTCTCTAAAGGGAAAGAAAGCCTGTGAGTTGACATTTTCATCAAACCTGGAAAATAGTCCACTTAAGTTCGACCTCTTAATCATGACCCACATGTTCTGTTTTCCTTTTGTTGTTCCTGCTGTACTTAGACTTTTCTTCAAGTGCACTAGTCCTATCTTCTGTGAAATATAGCTAGCATTTTATTGTGTCATTTGGTTCTTTTTTGTAGATTCCAGTTCTGTTCTACAATTTTCAATCTTATGCCAGGCATATAATACAGTGGACAGGGTGCATGTCTTTGCGTATTTGACGTAGATTCCATCCCTGGCACCTCATATGGTCCCCTGAAATCCACCAGGGATGATCCCTGAGCACAGAGTAAGTCCTGAGCACTGCCAGTTGTGCCCCCCAAACATGAGAGAAATAATTCTCGCTCTTATCTACATTTAGTTCATCTTCTCTCTTTTTTTTTTTTTTTTTGGCTTTTTTGGGTCATACCTGGAGATGTTCAGGGGTTACTCCTTGCTCTGCACTCGCCATCACACCTTGAAGTACTTGGAGAAACCAGGGGATTGTACCCAGGTTTTCTGTGAGGCGCTTTACCTGCTGTACTATAACTTCAACCCCCACCAGTTATTTTGACATCTTGATTTGTATAATCCAATATCTGAGCTGCTTCTGGATTTGTTCTTGACTGTTTTGACAGTTGGGCACTTTTTTTCTGCTTCTCAATTCTGGTTGTTTCATTGTACCAAAGACTTTAAAGCATTTATGTTGTAGAGGTTCAAGACTGTTTATAGAGTGCTTTCTTTTCTGTAGGCTGTCAGATCACCTCAATACTTACAGGAATGGTTTTTGCCTTTGAATAGATCTTTTTCACTTTTATCCTCCCTCCTATGGCCTAATCTTTCTGGGGTTTCACACAGATCTTGGAGTACTTATCAAGTACTCTTTTAGAACTAAACTTTAGTCTAGTTCCCAACCACTGCCCAGCATCTGAGTTTTCTGCTCAGATCTAGTGTCCAGCCTCCCAGAACCCTCATCCAGGAAGCTGAGCTCCTAAGGTCTCTTCATTTGCTTGTATGACATTGAGATAGTAAATCAGTGTAGACATTTTGCTTGTTTTTTTTTTCCTTTTTGAATCACACCCGGCGACGCACAGAGGTTATTCCTGGCTCTGCACTCAGGAATTAGTGCTCAGGCAACCATATGGGATGCTGGGAATTGGACTTGGGTTGGCCGTATGCAAGGCAAATGCCCTACCCGCTGTGCTATTGCTCTAGCCCCTTGCTTGGGTTTTTGGAGGGAACTCTTCTCTCTAGGACCTTCTCAGAATCAAACAACTGTTCTCTGCTTCATTTCTTTTCCTAATTTGAAAAAATTGGCCTCATGGAGAAAACCAGGGTGAGTATGGTGCCACCTGGGTTTCCCCTCTCTCAGATTTGTGATTCTACACTAGTTTCTACTGAGATGCCTTCAAGTTATCATTTTATATGTTCTCAGCTTATTTTGTTTTATTTTGAGGCCACACCTGTTGGTGCTCAGGGCTTACTCCTGGCTCAGTGTTTAGGGATCACTCCTGGCAGGGATGAGGGACCATATAGGGAGCCAGGAATACAATTCAGGTTAGCTGTCTATAAGGAAAGTGCCTTAACTGCTGTACTATCAGTCCAGTTCCTGTTTTCCACTTTTATAGTTGTGTTTAGTGGAACTACACATCCAACAGCTTCATTTTGTAAATCCAACAAAAACAGTATGGGAAAAAATTTTCATATTATAATCACTATTGAAAAGTTACAAACAGTAGGACAAAGAGATTGGAGGGGGACTGGAATGATAGTACAGTGAGTAGTGCACTTGCCTTGTATGCAGCTGACTTGGCTGGGTTCAATCCCTGCTACCCCATATAGTCCCGTGAGCACTGCCAGAAGTGATCCCTGAGCACAGAGACAGAAATAGGCCCTAAGTACCACCAGGTGTGGGCCCCCCCCCCCAAGAAAATATTGAAAGGTCAATCTCAAACTGCTAATTTTCTGCTCAGATTAGAAGAGATTGGGGCACTGAGAAGGAATTTATACTAATCATCTTCTTTTGTGTGTTTCTTTCTAATCCTTTAGTACCTCCCTGCACTTGGCTACTCGAAACGGGTCCATCTAATGAATCCCATGGTTCCAGGATTAACTGGAAGCAAAATGAGTTCTTCAGAAGAGGTAGGTTGCCAACTGATTAAATTTAGAAATCAACAAGAGATAGGGAGAAAAGGATGCAAAACAGTAGTAACGTGGCTGACTAGAATTCTCAGATACTTGAGTTGGAATTGTCATAATTCATAAATTGTCATAAATGGTCAGCCAGTCATAGATGGTCAGCGAGTTAGTTCCGGTGGTTCTTGAGGACTGAAGGACACGGAAGTAGTCTTCATAGAATCCAAACATAATTTTAAGCATTTTTTTCTGCTACTGATGGTGCAGACAAAATAATTTTTTCACTCATAGAATCGTGATATGGTCTGTCTTGGGGCCGAAGTGATAGTACAGCAGATAGTGCATTTGCCTTGCATATGGCCAACCTGGGTTCAATCCCTGGCATCCCATATAGTCCCCCTGAACACCGCCAGGAGTAATTCCTGAGTGCAGGCCAGGAGTAACCCCTGAGCATTGCTGGATGTGACCCAAAAAGCCAAATAAATAAAAGTTCTGTCTTATTGGGTGTGAGAAAGCTAGTACAGTACATAAAAAACAAAAAGAAATAAAAACAAAAGTGCCTGGTGCAACCCCACTAGTTTTGGTTTATTATAGGTCTAATATAGTAAATAACCCCCAGGTGATATTTAGTTACATGGACTAGAATTTGGTAATAACTCAAAAAGCAGTCATTCAAATTCACTCACTTTAAAAAAAAAAAGTGTGTATGTGTATGTGTGTGTAATTATTTTTTTATGGGCATGGGGGTTAGAACACCCAGCAATGCTCAGGGCTTAGTCCTGGCTCTGTGCTCAGTAATCACTCCTGCTAAGACTCAGGGATGATACGTTGTGGTGCTGAGATCAGTTCCATATCAGCTTTTTTTTTTTTTGATTTTTGGGTCACACCAGCGATGCACAGGGGTTACTCCTGGCTTTTCACTCAGGAATTACTCCTGGTGGTACTCTGGGGAAGGGGAGGGGGGACCATATGGGATGCTGGGAATCGAATCTGGGTTGGTTGTGTGCAAGGCAAACGCCCTACCCACTGTGCTATCACTCCAGTCCCTCCATATCAACCTTGTGCAAGGCAAGCACCCTACTTAGAATGCCATCTCTCTGGCCCTTTAAAACATTTTTCTTTTTTACAAGGGTTAAACCTTACATGCTGCCACTTCAGCCGAGCCTGGTTCTATCCCCAGCATATGATCCACAAAGCACCCTCTGGAGTGATCCCTGAGCACAGTCAGGAGTAAGCGTTCATTCCTCCCAGTGTGGCTCAAAAACAAAAAAGGAAAATCACTACTCTAGACAAGGCCTGGGAAGATCAGAAAAATGAAAGGAGGTTTTGGTGGTGATTGTGGTGAGGGTTGATAATAGTGTAAGGCACGGTGTGTTCCTCATGCTGATTCTGATTTTGCTAAAGTTGTTTAGTGTTTAAATATTTGTTTAAAAAAAAAAAGTGAACCAGATTAGCTGGGCATATTTCCCACTTCCAACCACAAGAGGTCCTCTTCTACTCCATGGCTTCTAGGAGTCCAAGATTGATCTCCTTGATCGGAAGGAGGATGTGAAGAAAAAACTGAAGAAGGCCTTTTGTGAGCCAGGGAATGTGGAGAACAATGGGGTTCTGTCCTTCATCAAGCATGTGCTCTTTCCCCTTAAGTCTGGTAAGACCCTCTGTTCTTCTCGGGGCTGGAAACAGCAAGCCTGCTCCTCCGCTCATTCTTAGTGCCCATCTCTCCAGTGCTCCCAGATGACTGAATTGGGGAGCAGTTAGTTGTCCTGGTATGCATGACCAGTTTTGCAGCGCTAGGGGTGGAACCTAGGACCTGACACATGCAAGGCGAGTTTCCTACCGTGCCATCCCCAGCCCTACCAGGGGAGATTCTAAGTGGGGCAAGGAAAGTAGAAATGAGGGTGAGGGCAGGCATGTTGAACTATAAGAACTAAAAGAAAAAAAAGTGTGGAAGATCTCATCCTTCTCCTTGAGCTTAAAAATAGAAACAGTAAAATGGGCCAAAGAGACAGTATTGGGGCTCAGGCACTTGCTAGAATCCTGCTGACTCCACTTCAAATCCCTGGTGCCACAGATGGTCCCCCAAGCATTGCCAAGGGTCACACCTGAGCACAGTGGGGTGTGACCCAAATCCCTTCCCCATCCCACTCCCTGAAAAGAAAAATAAAATGGGACCACAGGGACAGTTCAAAAGGCTGGAACACGTGCTTTGCTAGAAAGAGCCTCAAGTTCAGCCCCTGGCACCACTGGGTGCCAAGCACTGCTTATATCACTCACACACACACATACACACAGAGTCATGCTTGCGTTCTCTCTCTCTCTCTCTCTCTCTCTCTCTCTCTCTCTCTCTCTCTCTTTCTCTTTCATTCACACACATACCAACAGTTCAAAAACAAGAAAATATAGCAAAGTTCAAAATATGGGCTGGAGTGATAATACAATGGGTAAGTTCTTGCCTTGTATTTAACTGACCCGTGTTCCATCCCCAATATCCTGCATTTTCCCCTGAACCCCATCAGGAGTGATCCCTGAGCGTAGAGCCAGGAATAAGCCCTGAGCACTGCCAGGTATGGCCCCAAAACCAAAAAATAAATTGGGGCCAGAGCGATAGTACAGTGGGTAACAGTCAGTCTTGCCTTGCACACAGTCAACCTGGGTTCAATCCCTGGCATCCCATATGGTTCCCTGTGCATCACCAGGAATGATTCCTGAGTACAGAGCCAGGAGTAACAACCCTGAG